TGGATCATGTTACTTTTATTTGAGTGTTTGTGTGTGTGTTAACATCCATATGCAATACCAGTGGTAGATAAGAATGATTGAAAAAGTCTAATGTCAGCTTGAGGAGCCAAGAAAAACCCCAAGTTAATAAGATAATGAGATGTAATCTTGTAGGCGTGTAAGACAGCTTTCAAGAGTGAGTCCCAGCTCTGATGACGCTCGCGATGTGACATGACGAACGAAGATTCGGTCCGTCTTGAGGACTGCGTCAACATGAAGGTCTTACTGTACTGCAGCCAAACGGCGTCGTGTGGTGAAATGAAACCTTCGAATCCAACAAGCGATGGATCTTCCAGTGCAACAGAAAGACTTCGATATGGCCAAGTTGAAGCAACCATTCCAGTACAAAATGTTGGAGACGGAAAGGGCGTTGATGAGGGCGAGGTTATGGGTAATCCAGCGGGAAGTTAGATTAGAACTCATTAAATCCGCCAAAAAGGACGCTCCTCTGAGGCGAATGGAAATAGGCAAGTTATTGGAGAAGTGAGGGTACCAGAGCAGAAGAAAAGATGCCACAACTGTTCGGGCAAAATATGAAGAAAGGTGGGGTTTTACGAGTTCCTTAGTAGATTTTTTTATTTCCTACCTTACTTGTCTTCGTGTCCGGTGACTCTCGTAAAGCTCTGACGATAACTTCCCCGGCGGTACCGATGAAACCTCAGCACGGACCCATCAACGTCATCGTGGAACGGAGCGCCGAACACACAAATCTACACTTGCAACTCCGAGGCCAACCTCCTTCGGTTTCCGGTGAGGCCAATTCGAGAATTCTTTCCACTCGCTTCTCTCAAACAAAACCGCAGACACGCCAACATTTTCAGATGGATGTTCTTCACTTGTTTCGTTGACGAATAATTATCTATTGCTAAGCCCGTGTCCGCAGTACGACGCTGAAAGTTGCCATTATCACTCCGGACAAGGTGCATTTATCGAGGCCACCATGACAACACGACAAAGTTGCAAGAACGGGTTTGAACAACGTCTGTACAACTCTGTAACTTTCGAAGATATCAAGACCAAGAGGGTGTGGCCCTCGGTATGGTCGTAGTTTCCTTTCGATGACTTAGTTTTCTGAGCTTGGTCGTGTTGTCAAGACGACTAGGTTAGACACATTTTGTCCGAAGTCCCTTGCCATATTAGCTAGCCTAGGTCCCAGCGTCGGACCGTGGGCTTGGTTGCATCTTAGGGACAACACGAATTGCAACTTGGTGCCGAGAACGGCAAGACCCATTGACGATGCCGACGAAGCGTCTACAAATATGCCAAGTTCACGGTCGGACGCTGGGAATTGTGCCAACTATTACAACAAAGGAGTTGGGACAAGATGCGTCAAAGCAAGTTGCGAAAACGAGGTCAACTCACTTCACGAAATTGCGTCTGCGGCACCAGAACAGTGGAGCTTTCGAAACTTTGCTAAGAAGCTGATTCGGATCCAATTTTTACGCATCGACTCCAGAGCAATCCGAGCACTGATGGAGAAGAAGGACGAAATAGGAAGGGGTAAAACAAATGATTGTACCCGAGATTGGGATCTACACAAAAGTGAGGGACAGAAAAATGAACACTTGCAAATGCCCTGAGGTTCCTTTGGCCGGCGAAAGACTGCTCCTTCTTCGTGAGTAGAGGAGATGAAGGACGAAGGAAAAAGTCGGCTCGTATTTCGTGATTCGTCAGAGGCTCCAACCAACGCAACCAAAAGGTAGACGCATTTTGGGTAAATTTGAGACATACCGTCGGCTAGCAGTAGGGGAAAACGAGGAGATCGATGCAAAATTGGCTGTGCAAAAACAAATGCCGTCAGAGTTTATTGGGATAAATCGAGGTGATGAGTAATACTGGTTGTGGACACCTTCATTTCGTGTGAAAGTGTGCGATGACGTGATTCATATTTCGATCCGACCGTGGCTCTGCCACTTTCCCATTGACGCAGTCTACGTGATCTGCGGCCTCACACACAAAAAATGATGATTTGGGCAGAGTATTCGCATGCGCGCCATTGCAGGTCGCTCATTGGTCTGATCCAATCGTCCAGTAGATCACGTGACTTGCCCGGAATTGCCCAGTTTTCAGACACTTTTCGCGGCATAGTTTAAGGTCGATCGAGTCCAAAT